TAATAAAATATTATAATTCATATTTTAACAATAAAATATTTTAATCTTTTTTAATAAATATTTATTGAAATAACGTAATTTTTAAATGATTTTTCTCTTAATTTTTAAGAAGTAAGATGGATAGATATTATTTTCAATAACAAATACATGCTTTCTTTTCTTTTCTTTTCTTTTCTTTTTTTTACATATTCCTTTTGATGATGAAGTTTTTTTTCAACGTTTAATTACTTACAGGATATAACAAGAGATATCACTTTTTACCAATACCATCATATAGATTTCACCTTAAAATCTTTAATGTAAAAATTAAAGTTTTTAACCATTAAATTTGTCTTGGAAATCTTCCTATAATATTGATAAATTATTTTCTGGTTTGCATCACTTGAATTGACAGTACAACCATTTAAGGAAGGCCAAAAATAAAAAAAATAATAACTTTGCAAATAATAAATTCAACTTCATTTTTGTTATCAAAAGTTTTTCTGATCCTTCTAGCACTTTCAAAAGAATTATTAAATTTCCTTTCTCCTAATTATTGATGAAAAAGTAGGTTTGTGCTATCCTGCAAAATAAATAAATAAATAAGTTGGGAAGCCAACTCACAAAAGTATCATACATAAACAACAAAAAGTGGCTCCATTTTAAGAATTTTAATTCACTGAAAATGTTACTTCGTTGTGAATTTATAAATGTTTTCTGTCGGCGACGAGAAAGAATATTATTGCTTAGAGTTGGAATCCAACTTAATTTTAAGCTGTTCTTTTACTTTTGCAGTCAACTCTAAATAGGTACCTTGAACAGGATCAAAACTCACACGTACATGCACCCAAATCTTCTACAAAATCTTTGTATGTTATATTTTATTTTTAAAAAATGAATTTCATATTTTGTAATCTATTGTTAGAATTGCAAAATATAAATAATTACACTCCGAACAATAATTCAATGTTTAAAAATTTGATATCTTTTATTAAAGATTTTAAATTTTAAATTGGGTGAGTAGAATTTTTTTTAAAAAATAATAGTTATCTTTATATATATATATATATATATATAATTTACTATTATCAAATGTAAAAAAAATAAACCAAGTAGATAAGAAACAAATTTCAGTATTAAATGGTTCATCTTTCATTCAATTATTTTTATTATATAGTTTGATATAGTATAATTTAAATTTTACAATGATTTTAAAAAAATCTTCTACAAAATTTATTTTTTAATTTTTATGAAGAAGGTAATTATTTAAATTTTTTTGTGGTTAAGAGAACCTGAGGTTGAACTCTTAATCCCAACAGTGGTCTGTCTTACCTTGAACTGAATGGTAAACTAAATTAATACAAACTATGTATTACAATAGACATTATTCATTTTTTTTTAATTTCTTTCAGACAAATAATTGATGTTACAAAGTGAGATAATAAAGATCTAGCTAGTAATTAAACATTAGATTTTGAAAGACGCCATGCTTGATTAATTCTAAAATTATTAATGCTAGAAAATGTATCCTCCATTCCATAAGTTCCCTGCTGTTCCTTGATTTTGCAAGGCTATCTTGTTGCAGGTACTTGTTTAGCAATTGTCATCCAGATTCCACAGGCCACCCCATAACAACTCATCATCCACCACAGCCTGCTCATGAGCAGACCAAGAAGCGGTATCCTGAGGCATCATCATCACAGGCAGGCACTGATCCACCCAAGGGTACATGAACACCATCTCTTGTATTCCCTGTGGCGCCTCAGTTGCCTTGCTGCTGTCTTCGGATATGGCAGCGGTGGCCTCTGTGTAAGAAAGCACCCTACTTGTATGTTCAATTGGCTTTGCCTGTGGGTGCTGCTGTTTCTGTTTTAGAACCTGAGCTTTTCTCTTTTCTTTCTTCTGAGAGGATTTCTCCTTCTTGAAATGGGTTCTCCAATAGTTCTTTATCTCATTGTCTGTTCTCCCTGGTAAGTACCTTGCAATTGTAGACCACCTGTATCTCAATTAGATCAAACAAAATACAATGAGTAAGAAAGAAAGCCTTATGAAAACAAGGGAATAAATGACAAACAGAACAAAATATAACTAGGCTCTGATACATGAGGAAAACCGTTCAATCTGATCCAACACATTAAAATACCTAAGATCCAAACTAGAATGAAAACAGGACAATATGTAGCAAACATGTCAAAAGACTAAAAATACAACTTGGACTCCAATATATATCATATCGTGTTCAGAACTGTAATCCTATATAAACAGTATTAAATAACTGGGCATTACTTGTTTCCCCAGAGAGCATGGAGTTCAATGATGATGCCTTCCTCCTGAGGTGTTATTTGACCTCTCTTGAGTCCAGGCCTTAGATAATTCACCCACCTCAACCTGCAGCTCTTTCCACTCCTGTTCAATCCTGCAATAAAACACGAAGTAACACTAAATTCAAACCCCATAGGAAAATAGCTTACATTATTCTTGTCAACCAAAGTATATTAATTATTAACAAGTAAATAAGAGCTTGTCTGACTCAGCTTGCCCCTTCCACTTAAAAAAAAAAAAAAAGGCAAAAATATAGTCAGCACTGAGTTAATTTACTGCTTTCTTTGTACTTATGATTCTTTTGAATACAGAGAAATATGTATTTTACCTGCACACCTAGATACTGAACTCCATCTTCCTTCTCCATGCAAGTTTACATATTCAGCAAGCAGCTTATCCTCCTCAGGAGTCCAAGGCCCTTTCCTCCATCCTTGTTCCGGTATTCCCCAGGCCATCATCAGTATTCCCTAGGTACTCAGTACTTGACTTTCAGTTCTTATATGTTTTTGCTGTCTCCCAAATTGTTTGACACAAACTGCTCGTAGACTTCCCCTTATATACCATACCTAAGCACTAAGCAGCCACTTCCATGTTTTATTGTATTCATTAATGCCCCATTGATGACGGTCTCATTCCCACTTTAAACAGGGATCTTTGAATCATATTTTGGCTTTGGTTCCCACATTACGATGTCGACCCTTTAGGCCCTCTAATCTTTGTACAAGTGTCCACGCGTGGTGCTCACCAGCTCCACATCTCTATGCCCAATCCATGACTAACAAGTGTTGTGAAAATATATTAGTATGGTAAATTATATTGTGATACATGTTGGTAGGATATAATTACATTTAAAATAAAAGAATTTCTAATATTGAAGAACAATATTTTATTTAATAACTAACATTTTATAATTTATATTATGAAACACTGAAACTCAATATTTGATGTGTTTTAAAAATAGAAAGCATAATAATTAACTCTTTTTTTTTTTTTTTGATCTTTGCAAAATAATTAACTTTAAATACTCATGTTCAATAAACATTACAAGTTAACTAAGGTGATAAGATTTAAGGAAATCTTAGAAGAGATGGTGGTTGTTGATTTTTCGTGTACAATGGATGTGTAACACGTTGAAATAAACAATCCTTAATTGATTGCTTTGCTAGGTTTTTTATTGCTAATGACACCACTATTTTTAAGCAAAATGAACCTTCTAGGAAGCCAGATGGGGCAAAGGGGCATTTAAATATGTGACAAAGGACAAATTTGAATGAGTCATCTTTGCCACGTCAAGGCCTTAGGATTCT